AAGTTATAAATAAATATAAACAAACAACACTAACTCGATAACATTAAATCTAAATACCAAAATGATTAATTTACTGTGTTTTTGTTATTTCTTACTCCTGTTTTTAGGTATTCGGTATTCGGCCGAATAGTGATTAAATATTCGGTATTCGGCCGAATAGCGAAAAATAAGCCGAATAGGCCGAATACCGAATAGTAACCGAATATTCGTTACATCACTAATTTTATATGAAAAATTTATCAATTTATTTTTTTCCTCTCAAGAAAATTAGTTTTGACATCTTTTCTTGTAAGGTGGCGCTCTGTGACGTAAGGCTTAGGTGAAATGTACGGTTTGCTACACGCGTTATAAATACAATTTAAAAACAATAAATATTAAAATTTGTAATGTAGCTTAGAGGCAAGAAGTTGAATTGTCGAAAATGTCAAACGAATCGTCACCAGAACTAGAATCGTCGGTAAGGCATCGAAGTCTGTATAAATTCACAACACCTCCGTGGAAAGAAACTTACCGTCAGGTAAACTATATACGTTAAGTTTAAATAGCATAAATGCATATGCATTTCACGGTAAAATGTGTCACCTAGAGGTTTAGACCCGTACGAGGATGGTGACAAAAGTCAAAGGAACCATTTCTGTACATTCGACCCTTTGCGAGATATTCACGGTTAAAGTCCAGATACGTATACCGTCATGGCGGCTCATCTCTGATTCCAGCAAACAGTGGGGACGCACGTTCTAACCTAACCTAACCTATTTGGTTGGTAATAATTATGGTAAATTATTAGAATAGGTTAGGTTAGGTTAGAACGTGCGTCCCCACTGTTTCCTTTCTTTTGTTTGCTGGAATCAGAGATGAGCCGCCATGACGGTATACGTATCTGGACTTTAACCGTATTCACCTCCATAAGCCATTTTTTTTCTGCATTTAGTCATGTACTTCAGTCATGTACCCCACAACCCCTTAAACTATACATCAAGTACTCTGAACAGTCAAGTGAGCTACTCGAAGTTGGTGTAGTCACGTGGACTAAAGAGTTAAATGCTGTATTCTTAGTGGAGCTACGCCACTCCCAATCGTGTTGCTATCTGGGCTCTTGATAGAAATAGATAAGACGTTACGACCACTCTTATAGAATGTGTCCGGTTGCTTATGCAGCCAAAGTTTTGAATGGCTGTCGTCGTGTTGTCGTCTCTCTCGAAATTATAACCTGCGTATTCTTCAAGGAAGCCAAAAAAATGATAATTATGAGACACCGGGACTGGATTGTTTGATGGATTGTGAAGAATGGCTTTTTCTGGAGGCGTTCTATGTGCTTGTTCTGTTTCTGAACTTCTTTAACTTGCTGCGATGGACAATTTTCCCCATACATGTATAAAAAATAATATACATGAACTGTATATTTGAAAATCTAGATGATCCAGAATAATAATTTAAAAGAAATCATGAATCTAGAAGTGAAATTTCATAAAAACACAATATGATCTTCCAAAACTCTTATCCTATAGTGTTGAATGATTTTCAGAGATTGATGAAAATTTAAAATTAGAGTTTAACTCTAGAAAAATGGACTAAAAATGCTTATATAACACAATGTGTATTGCCAATATGAAACTGTTTATTGGTGTATATTTAGTGCATAGGGTTTATGTTACATGATATATCACAACAAAATGTATATACAGTGAAAACTGCTTAGGCGACCACCTGCATTCGACGGGCACCTGTCAAAACGGGCAAAAATTTCTGGCACGGAATAGTTTATCCATAGAGTCTTCGTATAAGTTACCTGTATTAAACGACCACCTGTGTAACGCGACCGCGGGCATCGATTTTTGGTCCGAAACAACATACAACACCTGTAATAAGCGACCACTTTCGCGAATGTATCTGGTCTAAACTATTGTAAGAACCCATCTCAACAACGTTTCNCTTTGGGATGTTTGATATACTTATCTAAATTCTTATCTAATACAGTATACCATACGCAAATAAGATTTCTAGCAAAGAGTTGAGAGAAACTTTAATAAGAAAATGGGATCAATTTTTAGATGTATCTGATCAAACCATAAGGAGGAAAACTTTAAAACAGAATGGTTAACTTTATTGCTTCTGAGTTTCAAATCACTACTAAGACACCTTTTAATTATGCATCTAGCCAGCATTACAGTGCTGTGTTATAACACTATACATTTTGTTGCTGGATGTGCCCAATAACAACAAAGAATAGCAACAAAAGCCTTTTACTACTTATTAAAAGGTAATAAAACTAATATTTTGGATACTGTAAAATTTCCAGTTATAGTAGATATATCAAGAATGTATTGCAGCTATATCAGTTCACAAGAGACAAAAATAACACACAAACAAATTGTAATAATAAATAAATAAAAATTATTTACTTTCCATGTTTCTGATACAGCTAAGGAGTACAGCTCATGCCTACAGAATTTTAGTTTTTTATACTGTCAGTTCATTTTTTTGCAGAATTGCTCAATTTCTAATTATTTTATTTCCTTTGTAATTTTCTGTAGTTATTTTAATTTTGTAAATTCCAGTCGTCTGTATATTTTCTTGCAATTTTTTTCATCCCTTTTATTATTCCTTTTTAGTATATTTAATTTTAGTTTTCTCTTTCATTTTTAAAAGATTTTAAGATTTTTTTTTTCCTCACATTAAGTTTTTCCCTTAGTAATTTTTCATTTTCCAGTAGAATTCAATATGCAACTTGCAAATCTCAGCTTTAACCTGTATAATTTTTTAATATTATTGCCTTCATTTGTCACACAAAATGCTATTTTCTTGAATAAACAAACAGAATTGGATTATGTAGGATTAAATGCAATCCAACATAATACAGTTTTTTTATTAAATCTTTACTAATTTTTCCAGTACATTGCATCATTGATCTTCAGTAGTGTATTTGCTATACTAGTTATAAATTTTACTTCTCTTGAAGGGTAGTGAATAAAAGTGAATATTTTGATAGTGAATAAAATCATACTTTGTAATTGGATTTTTATTTGTTCTTACTTTTTTTACTTAAAAAGTCTTTCTGTGTCATTTAAATTTTGCTTACACTGTACTTTGAGCTATTGATTAATAACTTGTTATCTGCTAATATATTATAAAGATATGATAATTATATTTGTAATATGTAACAACAATTATACTGATTTTTTATATAAAGAGAACATGTAAAAATTATTAATAAAAAGTATTGTATATTTAATTTTGAGTAAGTAAAATTTTTCTCTTTTGTACAAGGACTGTATTGAAACTGATACAGAAGTGGGCATAACTTTTTTATTTACTGACATAATCATTCAAATTGCACTTGTTGATAGAGTAACTTTTCATCTATACAAAGATACTACTCACTCTCCATTACAAGTGATGCATTTATGCCATCATTGAACCCATATATGGAGTCCTCTTTGAAAAATTTAGATGTGCACTGTTGTATTCACTTCTTCACAGCCACTTTCATCTTGTCTGTGTCATCAAATTGTTGTCCCCGAAGAAGTCAGAGAATGCCAGATCTGGGTTGTATGATAGATGGGGAACCGTTGACTGTAGTGTATATCTGAATTTTTTCAGAGGATTTCAGAATTTATTTAAATTATTGTGTAAATGCATTGCTTATAATGAAGACTATGTTGAATATTACCTATGTATAGCGGAAGAGTTACTCTACCAATAAGTGCAGTTTGAACAACCTATGTCGGTAAATAAAAAGTTGTGTTTACTTTTGTGTTAGTTTTGATATAGCCCTCATATTATTCTAAGTACTATATTGTGTACTTAGTTTATTTTATTTTTCAAAATTCTTAGGTTTTTCTAATTCTTTTTAATTATTCATATTATTATTATTATTATTATTCATTGATTCATTTTAAAACTTGTATTTTATTAAATTATTTTTATTTCCAGAAATGCCATGAACGTTTGCAAAATAGTCGTCAACGTCTTTTTAATAAATTCAGAGGACTTACCATTGAAACTGATGCATTTCAAAAAGATGCTATTGAACAAAAGATAAAACAGATAATGGAAGAAGAGTGGACAAAGATGCATAATAGTTCTATTAGTAATAAATCTTTTGAGGTGAGCATTTAAGACTTAAAGATATACACGTTTTGTATATTATATATCATTGTTTTCATATTACATATTCACATTCATTACTACATTGTGTAATTTAATTGAACATAAAAAAAATTCAGTTCTATAAATTCTGGATTTTCATTATAAGAACATGGACTTTGAAAATGTCTTTGAAACACAGGAGATCTTGGTAAAGCTTGTCATGCCAGCAATTGGACATATAAAAGTGGGAGAACGTTAAGAAATTCAAAGCATGAATTAAATTAATATTTTAAAAAGATTAAAAATATTTTTTCAGTAGCAAAATTTCATGTTACATATTCTCAATATAATGAACAAGTAAAACGCCAAAGCCATTTTTGGGACAAGATTGTGTCTTGGAGACTCAAGGCTTGGCTGCCCACCATTTTCTAAGGAAAAGAGAAAAATGAGCACTTTCCAATGAAGAAAAGTTGACACCGATACTCGGGTTCTGGCGTAGATTACGGCGGGCTTTGTTGAAACTGTGGTTATGACAGGTTGCATTGTCATGGGCCTGCTCTTGGTTACATTAAGCAGGATGGATCACTTTGGTGCTCATGGCGGGTCTCATTCTCATTCCAATCTTCTTTGGTATTGCTGGTTTTGAGTGTGATCATTCAAACTTCACTAGCCTCTGCTATGGCTGTAACCATGAGGTCATCCCTGATGCATTTTTGGTGAAATTAACCTATCCAATGTCGAAATTTATCTTTGTTGCATGTTGCCCTGGGTTGAATTTTTGGTTGATGCCTAACAAAAATTTCCCGGTTTTGAAAAAAATAATCGTGGCTATTGTATTGTCCGAAATTATTTTTTTATTTTGCACAAACAAAATAAATATATTTATAAATGTAAAAACAAAAAAAAATTATATTTTGGAAGTTAGTTTTAATATAAAATTAGAACAACTAGCGCCAGCTAGTTTCAAAACGTTCTGATGCTGAAACGAGATACCTCGGTCAACCAGTCAAGGTCAGCAGGTCATGATCAGAGAGTGGGACAGGTAAATGGGTTTTTTCAAAGATTCGTTTGTCAAAATTCAATTTCGCAACATTCACATTTCCAACTTCCCAATGAGCAATGCATGAGCAAATCTCGCACTAGCACCTGTTTGTAGAAAGTTGTTGCCATTTTGTATGTTATTTTGACTCGGTTCTCGGCCCCCTGACTATCTACAAGTCTGGTTTTTTTTATGTGTGCATGATTTGGGCACCAAATACTGTGCCAAATATCAACTCCTGACATGTACTCCTTCATACCTCTAAGGTGATAAGCCGTTGACGACACTGCAATTTTATAAACAAGATACAGTCTTGTCAAAAATCTGTGCAAACGTCTATGGAATTGGAAACATCAATAATTATATTTTTTTCAGCTGTTACTTTAGTTTTTGAACATCTACTCTGGAGAATGCATTTCAGAATAATCAGTTTTAAAGAATTAGACTAATGGAACACNATTATTATTATTATTATTCATTGATTCATTTTAAAACTTGTATTTTATTAAATTATTTTTATTTCCAGAAATGCCATGAACGTTTGCAAAATAGTCGTCAACGTCTTTTTAATAAATTCAGAGGACTTACCATTGAAACTGATGCATTTCAAAAAGATGCTATTGAACAAAAGATAAAACAGATAATGGAAGAAGAGTGGACAAAGATGCATAATAGTTCTATTAGTAATAAATCTTTTGAGGTGAGCATTTAAGACTTAAAGATATACATGTTTTATATATTATATATCGTTGTTTTCATATTACATATTCACATTCATTACTACATTGTGTAATTTAATTGAACATAAAAAAAATTCAGTTCTATAAATTCTGGATTTTCATTATAAGAACATGGACTTTGAAAATGTCTTTGAAACACAGGAGATCTTGGTAAAGCTTGTCATGCCAGCAATTGGACATATAAAAGTGGGAGAACCTTAAGAAATTCAAAGCATGAATTAAATTAATATTTTAAAAAGATTAAAAATATTTTTTCAGTAGCAAAATTTCATGTTACATATTCTCAATATAATGAACAAGTAAAATACCAAAGCCATTTTTGGGACAAGACTGTGTCTTGGAGACTCAAGGCTTGACTGCACACCATTTTCTAAGGAAAAGAGAAAAATGAGCACTTTCCAATGAAGAAAAGTTGACACCGGTACTCAGGGTTCTGGCATAGGTTACGGCAGGCTTTGTTGAAACTGTGGTTATGACAGGTTGCATTGTCATGGGCCTGTTCTTGGTTACATTAAGCGGGATCACTTTGGTGCTCATGGCGGGTTTCATTCTCATTCCAATCTTCTTTGGTATCGCCGGTTTTGAGTGCGATCATTCAAACTTCGCTAGCCTCTGCTATGGCTGCAACCACGAGGTCATCCCTGATGCATTTTTGGTGAAATTAACCTATTCAATGTCGAAATTTCTCTCCGTTGCATGTTGCCCCGGGTTGAATTTTTGGTTGATGCCTAACGAAAATTTCCTGTTTTTGAAAAAAATAATCGTGGCTATTGTATTGTCCGAAATTATTTTTTTATTTTGCACAAACAAAATAAATATATTTATAAATGTAAAAACAAAAAAAAATTATATTTTGGAAGTTAGTTTTAATATAAAATTAGAATGATTAGTGCTGT